TAGTCCCTCCCACCAGGGATGCATGGAGGAAACCATGCGAGGAGAGAGGAAACGAGGAAATATGTTTTAACAGACATGAGACGTCCTTTCCTCAGTTGCGTCACGTGAAGCGATGTCTGTTTCTGATGACACGGTGCTGATGATCACAGCTGATCAGCTGTCAGTCGGCTTTAACAGCTGGAGAGACTTTAGATAAGTTTGTGTGTGTTCACATGATCACTGTACTTAATAACAGTAACTAATAATACTAATAACTAATAAAGACACAGTAATCACCACTGTAGAGGTGTTTCTCTCTGTAGTCTGTTAAACTGTGTCCTGTGTTCTGTTCATAAGCACAGGATCCATTTCTACCGGCGGAATGCGATCGTCTTATTTATGAATTATTTGCGTCTGTACGTTTTGAAACTGTGACTGTGGCGTCATTATTAAATAACCCAGAATATGATTATTGTTTCTCTTAAATGATAAAACTCATCAAACACTCAGGAATGATGTAAAAAGTGTTTAGTATCTCAGCTCTCTCTGACTTTAATTGTATTCATAATAAAAGTTATTGAGGGAAACATCAGATCATGAAAACACAAATCTTTCTGATAAATGAAGAAAGCTGTTTGTGGTCCTTTTGTTGTTCAGACTACAATGAACATTTATTTAAACCAGATGTTGAATCAGAAACCTAATCTCATATAAACTAGAGTTTATTCTGTGATCCGTCTTCACTCTGGTGTTAAACTCAGTCAATCAGTCCGATCAGCTGCAGCGTCCAATCACATGACTGATGAACAATGAGGGAGCGTGTCGGCCGTTAAAACACTTCCTGGAACTCTGTTCTCGTGGTTCCTCGCTCATGGCTCCTCTGAGGTCCCTCCTCCATCCTCGATCCTCGCTCCTCAGAGCTACTTTAGAGCTTTGGGACGGCCGTCAATATGGCGGCGCAGAAACAACTTCCGGTTCAAGCGAGGAGCGAGGAAACAACACTTAAGAGACTTGAGAAGTACCCTCTGTGTGTCCTAATGACCGGTGTTATGTATCTCTTGGTGTCCCTCTCAGGGTCTGTCCCTCCTGTGTGAGACTATAGAGGAATGTTGGGATCATGAGGCTGAAGCGCGTCTGTCTGCCGGCTGTGTTGAAGAACGAGTTGTTCAGATGAAGAGACAGACAGAGAGACAGACGAGCATCTCGGGGCCCGAGGACATCGTCACAGTTGTCACCATGGTAACCAATGTGAACTACCCGCCTAAGGAGTCGAGTCTATGACGAGGTCTACGGACCAATCAGGACGGAGCTGGGACTCACTTAGCCAACGGGTCTCTGATCGCTGACTCTGGTCAGGTGACCCGTCAGGTGGTCAGGTGACCCTCAGACTGATGAGGACAACATGGCAGAGAGTCTCTGGCTGCGGTCTAAAAGTCTTTGTTCTTCAGAAGGTTCCTCACTGAGGTTCCTTACTAAGGTTCCTAACTGATGAGAGCTGTTAGAATCCTCTAAACGCTGAGGAAAGGTGCGTCAATGCTTCCTTTCATATCTCCTTTAGCATAGGAAACACTGGACCTTCTTTTACCAAAGGAAAGGAGATAATTCTGACCCACAATTCTTTGCAGCAGTAACATTTAAAGTGACACAACATAAAAACAAACATTATGTTTATCTCACAGGTTTAACAATTATACTCATAAAGTGATAGAGTGATGAAATTCATGTTGATGAAGATGAACAATGAGACAATCATCTGGTTTCATTTTATATTTATTTACTTTGAACATGAAATAAATATCAAAACAAACTGTTAATAATAGCTTCATTAATAAAATAAACTATGATAGATTATTAAAAAAAGACCAATATATTATATAATATATATATTTATAACAGAACCGTTGGATCCACATTATTGATTTTAAATGAGTGATAAGTGTGACATCAGGAGGAGCTTCACACCACGAGTGAAGATCTTTTTAGAACTTCATGACATCATCAGACAGATGTTTTAGTTCCTTCCTCCGTCAGTGACATCATCATGACTTAGTTTAGTTGGATTCTCTACACACCACGGTTGTCGTCTCCTAACTCCTCATGAACTCTCCTTCACATCTTTCCTTGACCCCATGACGTTTTCCATAGAGGCCAAGGAGAAGTGGTTGGGAAAGGACGTTAGGTCATTTTTTGACTTTTCGACTGCAGCCTGTTTCTCAACAGGGTGACACTGATCTCTGATGTCACTACCTGTTTGTTTTACAAAATAAAAGACTTCCTGGACAGACATTTGATTTGAGTGTTAAAAGACGACTTTTTGTTTCTCTGAATGAAGAAGAAACAACTTCTGAATGTCTCACTGCTGTTTGTTTGTGTATATTATTATATGTATTTATATATATATATATGTATATACTGTATATGTATTTATTTATATGTATGTATATATATTTGTGTATATATATATATATGTATGTATGTATATGTACTTATATGTATGTATATGTATTAATATATGTATTTATAATATTTATATGTATTTATATATATGTATTTACATTGTCAGAGTTTCATCATCAGCTTATTGATCGTTTCTTTTCTTTTATAAAACTTGTTGAGAAGAAACAAGTCGATATTTGAAGGATTGAAATGTTTAATGGAAATAAAATGTACAAGTTGAAAACAGTTAAATTGAGTTATTATTGTATTTAATAGTTCATGTTTTTATTGGTATTAATGATTCTTTCAGATTTTTGACACACTTCATAAAACCTATGAGACGTTTGAGGAACTTCAACAGACTTCTTGTCTCTTTGATCTTTTGAAGGACTGATTTATTTTATCTGTTGCAGCATGGATCAAAAACTGATTAATATGAGGAATGTGACTAAAATATCACCTTTAACACAAAGAAATTTATTATTCTGTCATTAATTCTAAAGAAAAGTCACAATACATCACAGTGGTAACTGTTCTGATATTTTATATATTGGAACCAATAATGACAATATTCTATTTTTCATTTTATTTCTATTTCTTTTGAAAATCAAATCTTATCTGAAGTCAGACAAAACATGTTTTTAATTTTCATAGAAGTCGTCCAGTTTCTTGTCAAAGACCAAAAGATGCTGATCAATAACTGATATCAACAGATATAACCCTGATCAATAAC